TAAATAAATAAATGGAGCAGGTCGATTCCGACATCCTAAAATAATAGTAATAATCCTAACTTCAATCTGTCGCCAGGACGATAGGATGAAGTCAAAAAAATAATGCCAGGTCAGTAATAAAATTACTAGTAATTAACAACGATGTTTCCCAGGAGGAAACGTGTGAAGGTCGGACTGTACCATTGCTACCAATGACGTCACTAGTCCCCATTCCTTCCCCATAAATGAGAATATTGTTTGCAAATTAAAAATGTGACTATTTACTCATACATCCATTGGCTATCACAGCTGATATTAAATCGTCACACAAATATGTATATATCACAATGATCAAGTTTGTATCACACCTACACACCTATTTAAATGAAAACTAAAATACATTTTAACAGAAACATAATTTATAATAATTAAATACATAAATGTCAATAACCTAGCGCTTTGGTTTGAGAATGATAATAATATATATACATAAAATATTTGTAATGAAATAAAATATGAGTTCCTTGGTTATTCATATATCAAAACCCTGCTTCGGCTTGGAAAAAAAACGATCGCAGTCTGTATTTTTAAGCTGGTAAGTATTGTTATAGAAAGATGTTCTTTGGAAGAAAAAATATTATTATTTTAGGTATATATGTAGAAAAAATTACAGATCAAAGAATAATGACAGTTAGGATACAATATTTTTTTATATAAAATGATAAAATCACAGCTTGTGTTATGGATACTAGATATAATAAATACATAGATACATTTTTTGTATCTATGAATTTATATCAATGTGTTTTTTGTAAATATACTCGTACATAAAACACCCAAAGCGATATAAACAAATATACTCATAAATGATATAGATATGTACTGTAAGAGGAATTGAATCCACGACCATCGGAAGTAAAGCGATGTACTAAACCACTACACCACTAAGGCCGTCAAATAAAAGCAAACTTTATAAAAAGGTGCACATCGTGGGTAATCGCGGGGATCGACTGTGCCACTAACACTTATTATTGAAATTCCTCCCCGTCACAACCTTAGAATTATTTTTATAAATGCATTAATATGGAATAGTTTACCCACTTGAGCTAACAGGATTCTCGGGCAGGGCACAGTTTGACGTCAAATTCGTTAGCCCGTCGTGGTAAATAACCATTATAGTTTTCAGTTATCATCAAGTGGATATCGTGGTACAAACAGCTCTCCCCTGTCAAAAACATTATTTTTAATGGATGATACTCGAATGATGCACTCGCCTACACTAACGGTTTACGCTGGCGGGGCATCAGTGGAGATGATAAAATGAGCATGAAGTCAGGTCAGTTAGCATCTTGACAAGTGGCAATTTACCACGATGTTTTCCAGGGGAACCGTGTGTTCAACTTAACATGGTACATTGCTAGCAATGGAGTTAGCCCACATTACTATCAGTTCCCTTCCCTGTCAAAAACATTGTCCATAGATGAAAGACAGATCGGTAGTACCCGTTACCTAGAGGAGTGCATGTACTTATTAATGATCCTTTGCCTAACTGGGATAGAACAAAGATACGCGAATGTCAGACAATTACAAATATCCGAATACATTCGGCAATAAGGCCGCAGCCTCGAGCGGACCACCATTTAAGGTCTAAGTAATGGGCCGGGTCTCCCACGCGGACGGAAGCCTCACATTATTAGGGCTGCCATCCATTATTAAGCGACGACCTTCATAGTGTAGTGATTAACAATGTGGATTGCTTTCCGTAAATGTAATCCTTAAAGCAGACTAATAATTTCGTTGAAGAACCCTGAACAATTCCTGGGATTTTAAAGTCTATTTCTATTTAAAAGCAAGTTTCGACTTTAAATACCATATGTAGATTGTAATAAGTAATTTGCGTGACTAGAAAGAAAGAAAGAAAGAAAATTGTTTATTTGGTACACTGAAAATAATTTTTAAAATTAAATTTACATTTTATATTAATAATTAGAGTACCAACTAGGTCTCCGCTCAGCATATGTCGTGACGGGGTGCCACGACGCTGGTTTTCAGCGGACACCTTATATACAATAAATATAATAAAATAATAATAATAATACACATACATACATAAATCCAGGCGGACAACACAAAGCAAATATTTACGACATACTACCATATATAAATAAAAATCAAACATAAACTACACACTGAAAACATAAAATAAATATAAACATAAATTCTGGTGACACTAGTATTACCCTGCATTACCCCGCTCTTGGAGTGCAGACACATCACGACACAGTTTTCTGAGTGAGGAGGAGTATTTTTTTAAATTTATTTTTAAAAATCTGCACAGTTAAAGCTGACTACTACAGTCTCCTCTATCTAAACGGCCAAATAGCTTGCTTTATAAGACGAGTTTCAGCTGTAAGGATAGATTAGGCAGTGAAATTACAAGATAAGAACCGTAGCATTTCAGTCGTCTGAATGGCAACCTATGAATGATATCACAAGTGACAACATGATGTCCGTAGTTGCTGTTCATGTATACATAAGCAACGGTTACAACTGACCATCAGCTTCTTTGCTATTCAAATTATATACTATAATATAAAAAAAAAAGATTTATCTGCTACGAAATACATAACTCTGATTATTTTATTATACCTATATTGTAAATATGAATGTTTTATTAGTTACTCGCTAGCTACTCGCCCCGGCTTCGCCTGAGTTTACATGTATTACACATATAAACCTTCCTCTTGAATCACTGTATCTATTAAAAAAACCGCTTCAAAATCAGTTGCGTAGTTTTAAAGATTTAAGCATACATAGGAACGGACAGACAGCGACCGCGACTTTGTTTCATAATATGTAATGATTACTCAGAGTAAAAATTTGACTTCATATCACACCGTAAGTAAGATAATGTTTTCACGCACCATACGCTAATCAGTTATCTATAAACATCAAATAGGCAACCCTATACTCAAGATTCACTTGAATAGTACATTGGCAATTAAGCTACTGCCATCGCTTGCCCTTTGAGCTTACAAACGGACCAGCCCAACTTAGATATTACTATCTATTCTATGTAGAACCCTACACAGTACTGGATACACACAGTGGGGGGCACAAGTCGGGGGAGTAATGGCTAGGATGAACAATAGCTTTATTATCATACTTACTTATGTCATAAAAGCGTGGTATTGTTATGGACAAAACCAATTTGAATGAGAACATAAGTCATAATAATACTGTATCCGACCAAGGTAGAAACAACTTCAAATACATTAGTAAAGATAACTCAATAATTTCTAGTCAGATCTTTATCAAATCTATATGGATACACACAGAAAGCACTGGATTTCGAATAATAAAAGGATAATCAAAGTAACATAACGTACCAAAAATATTTATGGTAAAAGTTCTTCTTTTCAGAACTTCTTTTTTAGAAACTATTCCAAAAGAATAATTTTGGGTACAAACAATTCAGAATTAAAAATGCAAAATTGTTTATCACTTTCTTTATCATGACTGAATTGCTGAAATTATGTCTATTTCACGTCAAATTAATTCGTCAATACATTACCTCTTATCTCATTGAAACAGATTATTAATAAATATATCTATTAAGCAGTAAAGCAAACACAATGTAGTAATAACTAATTTTAATATTTCAGTTTAAGTTCGAAGTGAGAAACGGGTAATTGTAATTGGGTTAAACTTTCCCATTGTTGTAATATACATTCACGGTAGAAAAATTGTAGTCATTTTATTTAAATATTTTTAAATAAATCATATTCCTTTAGATGAACTAAAAAGTTCTTAACACTATCTTTAAATCTAATTTCCTCTTATGTTACAACATACATTCAGGGCTTAGTAGGTAGTCTTATTAAATTAATGTAAGCGTATGCCAACAGACCTAGCCGTGATCGGCTGGTCCGGTAGCGGAGGCCGAAGATCATGACCTCCATTACTAGCCAACGGCCCAGGACTGTATGAAATACGATGTACGGTACACTAATGAAAATCTCGTTCATAACAAGCCATTCTGAATACATTATGATTGCATCTTTTATATGATACTAGATTTCGAATGATGACGCAATTTTGTCTGATTTTAAGATAAAGCTAAGCTAGATTAAAAGCTTTCCCTCAGGTTGTCTGTAAGAAAATGCTTTGAGCGATAAGGCCGCCTTTTGTTCGCATATTTTTCTTTCTTTCTTTATTGTAATTATTTGTTCTTTTTTTATGCTCAATTAAGAGTTTTATTATTATTATAAAAATATGAACAGACGTAGCTGTTCAGATTTTTAATCTAGTCGTAACCGTAACTAGCATACATACATCGGTCATCACATCTTCATGTTACACCTACCATACCCCTCATGCGGTGCTATTCTAGAGAACTAAGATGTCATGCATCTCATCTTATAATTTCACTAGCTTATACCCTTCAACGAAAAGATATCTTGCTTAACATCTACATGACGGCTAAGTTAGGTGAGACAGAAAAACCCACAGAAACGACTTTTTTCAAAGTCTACCAACGTTACGTGAAGATAAATTGTATTCTCGTATTACAATTTATCTTATCGTTAAATTTATTAGCGATTTTGATTTGTTTTTATTCACATAGGTAATAAAGAAAACATAATCGGTAATATTATTAATCGAGTAAAATTGAATCGACCTCACTCGACCATTACAGTACCGATTACTCATATTAATAACCAATTAAATGGTCCAAATACGACAATTTTATTGAATAATTATTAAATTGAACGAATGAGTTTAATATTATCGATTATCTGGAAAATTACTGCCCAAATATTATGGTAGACAAAATTATACCCGCGACATCGTTTCGTAATCGGAACAAAACTAACACCGTAAAAAGTAACCAACGTGCTCTAATTCTTCATCCCAAAACAACGTGTATGCTAAGTATTCCGATAGAGGTAGACTATAAAAGTCTTTTTAATATATGTTGAGTTTTGCTAATGTAAATATAAAGACAATTTTAAACTTACCATCATAAGAATCCGGTATATACAGCGGTTTTCCCACCAGCTTGCCCTTCTTCCCCGAGAGAGGTACCGCCTCCACTCTCCTATGCGCTTCCAACACCCGATACAAAAGCACTGGCCTATCCTCCCCCTCAAACTTGACAACTCGAGGTAAGGAGAATTTATCTACGAATTCTTTCAACGTCATCACATCACTATCGTCCTCGGGTTCGACGGAACCATTCCTACGCCCTAATAAAAAGTTGTCTGCCCATTCTGGAGCGTTTGGCCTTCTCTGGTGGTCGCTTGGCATGAAGTCTGGCCTTCTTTCGCTGCTCCGAGGCTTGTACCTCGGCGGTCGATCTCGCCTGACCAACGCTTCGTTTGCTTCCGCCAACCATCTCGTCACTAGTCTTTCCCGTTCAACGTCTAAGTATCTAGGCTTCGAAGCGTCGCACGCGAAGCGAGCTGCATCAAAGCAATATTGAGGGGGCGGCGGACGTATCCGTGGGGGGAAGAAGCGGGGTGGTACGTAGGGGGGATGGGGCGCGTAAGCGGGCGGCGTCCTCGGCCCAGAGCCCTCGACTGACGCCGTTCTGAACATTGTGTCAGGCCATTGATGCGACTACCGCCACCTGAAACAAAGAGATGATTCTTTGAAATTCTTATCCTTACTATTCTAATATTATAAATGTGGTAGTTTGCTACGCTTTCACGCAAAAACTACTGAACCGATCATTATGAAAGTTTGTACACATGTTCTTGGAGGTATTAAAAAAAACAAATATTATTTATGAAAAAAAAATATCAACATTTTGCTACTTCAGTAGTATTAATGAAGTTATAAATCAATGCCATCCAGCAGCCAGTAATGAAGTTATGCGAGCGAAGCCGTGGGTAAAAGTTAGTACTTAATAATACACATATTATTTAAAAAGTTATTTCTCCATTATTAGGTCTGAACGCAAACAAATCGTGTTAATTTAAGTAGTTAACTTCGTGTTGTATAATTATTTTCATAAGTAATGGATACTAATGGCTGGAAAGCACAAGAAGGAGTACTTTTTCTTTATCACATATCACACTATATTATACATAACGTATATTAATAAATCGATTATGACTCGCTTGAACTCGATAAAATAGTAATCCATCAAATTTATCGATACATAAATTAAGGTACGGTTTTTTATGTAATTAACTGCAATGAAGAGTTAAAAACATTATTACCGTTGTCCATACTTAGTAAATCGCGTATTTTATGTAACCGAGTAACAAAAGGAGAAAGTGCACATTTCTAATTTAGACAGTATAAAAATAATCCTTACTAATTAAGACTGTATTATGATGGAGTTTATAATAATTTACCAAAATCCTTAGGCTTCAGGATGAGGTCATGTGCTTATCATATCATCCTCCACTGGTGCCCCGCCAGCGTAATTCATTAGCGCAAGTAGTTAAACAATTTCATCCTCTTCAATTTAAAATAACGTTGAGATGGTCGCAACCACTGACAGAGCATCATATGAAAACTCATAAATAGTGTGATATATCATTACATAGTTAAAACAAGGTCGCTGTCGCTGTCTGTCCGTACCTATGTATGCTTAAATCTTTAAAAGTTCGCAACGGATTTTGAAGCGGTTTTTTTAATAGATAGAGTGATTCAAGAGGAAGGTTTATATGTATAAAACATGCACACCCGGGCCAAGCCGGGGCGAGTAGCTGCTTGTATATACATATATATCTTATATATAAAATCTCGTGTCACAGTTTTCGTTCCCATACTCCTCCGAAACGGCTTGACCGATTCTCATGAAATTTTGTGAGCGTATTGAGTAGGTCTGAGAATCGGCCAACATCTATTTTTCATCCCCCTAAATGTTAGAGGTAGTCCACCCCTAATTTTTTTTTATTTTAAGGCAAACAACGTCGGCAGCTTGTTTGTGATTCCAATTAAAAAATATATTATATAATGTAATATATTTTTTAATTGGAATGACAAACAAGCTGCCGACCCACCTGATGGTAAATGGTAACCTATATAAACGCCTATATACATGAACAGCACTACAAACATTATGTTATCACGAACTCTATGATTCATCTGATGCGTTATCATTGTGGAGCACTAAGATGTCATGCCTCATATCCTGTAATTTCACTGTCCAATCTGCATTCTAAAGCAAAATACAATTTAAAAAACATGTTACTTGGCGACTGAAATAGGTAAACCTGATGTACTGAGCAAAATGACTTTTTACAGTGTCAAGGTACCCCTTGTAAAAAGTAATTTGGGTCGGGATTTACTTTATAATAGTACAGTATAATAAACAGTAGTTAATATTTCAAAGCAAATTTAATTAATTTGCCTATAATATATTATGTATTACTTATTACGTAATTATGTAATAATATCGATAATCCGAATCACTTAACTAGGTGTCTGAATTTTAACGCAATCGAATTAGGATCGATTCGAAATGAAATCGAATATGTCTTGTTGTCTGTAATAATAACAAACAATTACTCATTCGCCTCCGGTTTTAACCTACGACCCCTTACATCAAACCATTTATAATCACGCAACATGTATTCATATCCTTATAGAGTTCAGTAGAAAAAAGACATATCAGTTGTCTATTTTTTTAAATAGTGCTGCCCGTGATACTGCTACGTTTGTGTGTTCATAAATCTTTTTTAATCGAATTAGGTGTTATATTGCGGAAATCCATTTCATTACTTAATTGATTTATATTATTTTGTTTAATTCCGCTACCTGTAGCATGTGTGAGATCACAAATACTCAGTGCGGAAATCTGACCACCGCTACTGGAAGAGTTACGACCTTCATCTTTGGTTATCAAATTCCGAACGCTATTGAATCCACACCTATGTATATTACGACACGTGTTTACCTCTGAACGAGTCATCACTAGGAAGTGAATATTGCTCGGATATAGAGTGGAACCCTAGTGTTGGCTGTTCGGCCACCAAACTACGAGGCAGGCGTAATTCTTCATCTATTGATGATGATCAAATGATAACAATAATGATATCACTGGACAATACACAGAACCTCATCTAGTCCAAAGCTAAGCAGAGCCTGCGTTATAGGTATTAAACAACTGATAAAATACTTAGATACATTTTTTTTTGTAAATACATATATATTATACATAGAAAACAACCAGACATACAAATAATCATTCTTATGAATGTATATATACATATTCGTGCCGTGCGAGGAACCGAACTTGCGACCATCGGAATTAAAGCGGTAAACCATTAGACTTTCTATTATTTCATTACAGTAGATATTAATTCATAAAATTGTAATTAACGTACTTATTGATAAAATTATTTTCTACTTTTCTTCTTTTCAGCTTTCTAGAGACCATATGTTGAAAGGGGAAAGAAAGGTTGCATGGAAGCAACGTCAATTTTAAAGCTTGAAAAAACTAGAAACTAAGTTTTTAGACTGTTGTTTAAATATAAATAAATATGACATTCAGAGTTTGTAAATAATTTACCCTTAAGTTAAATAAGGTATGTAACTTTTCATGGAAATTCATCATTTTTAAAAGTAGAACGATGAAACTTTTTTATTTGGCTTTATTCGGTTAGATTATTAGTTCATATAATTCATACCTTATATATTTCATATAAATATTTTAACAAGCTCTCTGTAGACAAATATTGCAAGTAGCTTATTAAAGTATAATATTACATGTAAGAATTACGTCCGTCAGTATTACCTTCCATTATGTGGGTCGTCAACTTAATTACTATTCCAGTCATCTAAAGAAAATATGTTCTAATTGTGGTAATCTGTAGTTAATTATGTGGTTCAAGCTAAAGCCTTATTAGGTATAAGACTTATTAGTAATATAGTGATTTTATCAGCATTTATTTAGCGTGTGTCGACATTTGTATGTAGTTATCATCGTGTGAACATCGTCGATTTGTGTCCACACGCAAACATGGGAACTATATGCAGAATAACAAAAATATTTGCTGTACACTGCGTATAAATTACAGTTTACTACTTATACAGTACCATTTAAAAAGAGATGGATGGATATAGCAAGAACGAGACGACTGCGAATGGAAGAGAAAAACTTATTACGCCGATCACAAATGAATGGGATAAGGTAGAAGCAGATGATGAAACAAAATCGATTGTAGATACATCACATAATCGATTTTGCTTAATACTAAACTGCATTAACTCTAATAAATAAAAAAATGGAAAATCTACTTTAATTGCATTCACTATATAGACGATATTCGAATTAGAATTAGATGAAGCATGATAACATACTTCATCGTACTAATTCTGTAGTTTACAGTAATTTTTCTAAACATATCAATATTTAGTAAACAATAAAATTTTACGACTATGTGAAAAATTACTAACTGTTCACTGCTGGCTATCGATGGCCCTTTACTAAACGAAACACAGAGGGCCCTCTAAATGCGAGGAGGAACTTATTCAGCGGCTGACGACCAACTTCTCCCTGACGGATACGAGTTTAATCTGAGAGCAGAGTTCAGGTGTAGGTACTCTACAACACGTGCAAAGACCGTTAATATTAAAAAAAAATCAACGCAATAATTTATATTTAGTTATACAATAAACCAACTTAACAAAATTTATATGCGATTACACAATTCACGCAATAAATTTTAGAATTGTGAACCAATTTCTTTATGAAGTCAGTTGAAATGTTTTTATAGTTGTTTGGCAGTTTTTCTTATCTTTCTTGCAATATAAAATGATTGCGTTTACGTAATTTACACAGTATTGCGCCGGAAGAGGCAGTTGTCTAATATATAACAAGTAAGTCCCCCAATAATAGATACATTATTGGGACCCCTCCGATCGATCCTCCGTCCAATTCAAACGGGAATCGATATTACGACGGCCTGAGACGAGGTTCGAACCCCTTGTGGTGCCCTCAGACTAAAGTCGTATCCGTCGGGCAGGAGTTGTAGATTCTCAGACCTACTCAATACGCTCACAAAACTGTTTGTCTATGCGCTTGTCTGAGAATCGGTCAAACCATTCTACCAGACAACTGTTGCGCTGAGAGATAATTAAGATTAGTGTTAATTTTAGGGAACGAAAACTGTAACACGAGAATTTTATATATACGATTACGAGTCAAGTTGTTTGTCCGCGATGGACTCATAAACTACTGAACCGATTGCAAATTTGATTTGCACATGGTGTGCAATTTGATTAAACTTGAAAGACTATCTATCTTAGATTACATCTCAATTTATAGTCGCAATATTATTTTATTCAAGAACCTTAGCCACAGCAACGCGTGGCCGGGTCTGCTAGTAATATAGATATAAGAACTAAATGAGACAATTTTTTAACAAAAAAGAAGCCGTGTTGATATGGTCTGTGGACAATTTTTTAGTTGAGTGATTCAACGGTGGGTGACGCCCAGGCCATTAACAATATTTAATCGCCATGGTTTTTACAGAGATAAGGAGTCGACACTTATTTCGATGAGTGGATTTTTTGGTATATTGTATAGGAGATTAGATATTCTCTATTCAATCATCATTATCATCAAACTAATAGCTTTTTACTAAATATGTACGCACTTACATTAAAAAA